AATGAATGAATGAATGAATGAATGAATGATTGAATGAAATGAATGAATGAATGAATGAATGAATGAATGAATGAATGAATGAATGAATGAATGAATGAATGAATGAATGAATGAATGAATGAATGAATGAATGAATGAATGAATGAATGAATGAATGAATGAAAAAGCGAATGACTGAATGCATGAATGAATTCCTGAATGAAGGAAGGAATCAATGCATGAATTAATGAATAAACAAATGACTGAATGCATGAATGAATTGCTGAATGAAGGAAGGAATGAATGCATGAATTATTGAATGAATGAGTGAGTGAGTGAGCGAGTGAGTGAGTGAATGAATGAATGAATGAATGAATGCATGAATGCATGAATGAATGAATGAATGAATGAATGAATGAATGAATGAATGAATGAATGAATGAATTAATGAGTGAGGGCAACAAAGCATCAAAGTTGGCAAAGAAAGAAAGAGGCGCAGAGGCGCGCAGAGGGAGAGAGGGAGAGAGAGAGCGAGAAGAAGATACACTTAAAGGAATGAGACAGGACAAGCAAAGAGGAAAGGGAGAGAAAGTGGCATTGTGGCTTGGAGGTGGATAAGGTCGCCGTAAAGTGACGCACGCGCCTGTTTTCTCATCGCATCCTATGCTTTGGGTGCTTGGGCGACAGTTGAAGGCATGGTGTGAAACCCTCTCCCAAAGAATTACACCGGAACAGAATGGAGCCAAACCCAAGCTGGCTAGCAGGCAAAATTGCATCCCGATGTGGTGTCAATCAATCCTGTAGTGATGTTGGTTTGTTGAGGTGTTAAAAGGTGCAGTTCGGCATTTCTTAAAAGTGGGATTTGTTGGTGGTCTTACGGCGACGCACCTTGTTGTTTGGCTACAGTTTTGTTCGTTTTGTCGTCGTTTTGGAAGCCTCGTATGTTTTCCTTTTTGAACAAGAAAAGGCACCTGCAGTTTGACGAAACGTATAGTTCGCACAACAAGTATATGCAGGTGCATACATAGCAAACAACGGCTTGTTCCGCATGAGCACACTGCATGTGTTCACATGAACAATGTGCATCTCACTGTCGATTGCGAGCTACCATTGTTTTAACGATTGAGCCGTTTGACGTGCCTGTGTGCACAATATTGCGTGCACCGTTGCTTTCATGATGGTCGTCTTTAAAATCTGATGGCAGTAACAGGGAATGCTGGTCAAGCATCCCATTGCGTACTTTTGGTCTGATTGTGGTGCTGAGCAATGTTTCTGTGAAACGCAAAGACCATCGTTATTTTTTGGCCGCTGTATAGCCGTGTGACGCCATGAAGAAGAAGAAACAGGCGAAAACGGAGCAGGCCTGCAAGCAATATTTTTGGTGGGCTTGTGTCCAGCGTAACATGTTGGTTGAGACAAGTTGAATGTTCTGTCAGGCTGTGCTGGCAGGGAAGGTGAAAGACTTGCTGCCAGAGGCCCTTTGGCTGGCAGGATACAGCATTTTGCCGTGCTTTTTGCATTGTCTGGTGTTTTGTCATGGCGCCACATGCAACTTGCAATGTGCGCGGTGATGTACTTTTTGAGAGGCTTTTGACTTCACCAAGCTCAAGGCACCTGCGAACTAACCTTCCAAATGTGTTCTTTTGTCACCGATGTTGATAGCATACAGTGGACAGCTTTGGTGACGGTAGATTTGTCGGCCGTGGATAGAGTTTCTTGTTGCGACAGTCCTCCACAGGCCGAAAGCGAAGATGAGGACGGACCACCTGAGGAGGCCAAACATTTGCATGTGCGCAAGACATCATTTCTAGTTGGTTCCATGAGACAATGTGGTTTCATCTTGTAAACTGCCGTAGGTTCATACGGTTTCTGGTGCGGGAGCAGAACCTGAAGCACAGGCCGGAAACTCTGCGAGCGCACAGAAATGCGAGCGCATGACAGTCAAGTCAAAGTTGGGCGGACCACCTTGGCTTCGCTGGAGACGAGTCCAATTGTGGTATCATGATTTCTATGAGTTGAACGCGTCTTTGTTCTTTGTTGCTTTGCCTTCAGGCAGCATCGCTCATGGCAGCCGCAAGCCCAGCCGTGCTTGAGCAACTTCAGTGGGTCACTATTTACACCGAGGCCGCGAAGGACACTGAGAAGGTGAAGCGAAGAAAAGGCCATAGTTTTTCAGAGTTGTTGACACATTGAATTTGGAAATACATGGAATGGAGTGTGTCATTCCCAAGGTGATGGTAAACAGGGACCCCCAAAAGGCGTCCCAATGCGGGCAATGGAATCGTTTCATCTGTCACGCGGCAGATGCAAAAGCGAAAGCAAAGCCAAAAGCAAAGGCAAAGCATCTCTGGGAAGATCCAGAAAATCAGGAGATGACGGCATGGTGTACTGTGAGTTTAAGGTCAGTCCCAGTCAGTATTTCCGCTCGTTTGCTTTATTTGTCGAATGTGGTCGCTAGTCTTTTATTGTCTTGCATGCGCTTGCATTGTTCGAGCATATCGACTCACCCGAGAGGCACTGGGCTGACAGTCGAAATATGGACTCCTGGGGACCCATCCTCCGCCACTAACAAATTGCACACTTGCTATCTTTTTACACAGTGTTGAAGTTGTTCTCATTCCTTTTGTTGTTTGCCGACCGGCTAGCCACGACAAAAGGCAGAATCATTCCCAGCAAATTTTCGTTGGAGCTATTTCATTGGCAAGCAACGTCGGCCGAACGTAGCTCGCTTGTTCTAGAGCTGATCAGGAAATCCACTTGATTGATGCTGTTGTCTGAACGTGGTCCGAGTTGGGGCAATCAGACACACGCACACAACACACACGGACTCACACATACGCAGGTTTCTCTGATGCCAAGCTCGCTCGCTGACCAAGCCTGTGACAATATTTGATTCTGACAACCACCTTGATGTCAAGGAGGAACAAACAACTCCGAAACAAACATGACTCAAGAAGGCAAAGAACCTTGGACTTTCAGACAAGAGAATCCCAGAAGGATCAAACTCCAAAAGTGGGGTCTCTTTAAGTCTTTGTTCCCCATGTCAGAATCGGTACACGACAAAGTGTCACTTCAAGCGTTCTGGGAGAATGTCGAGGTGGATATGTTGCTCGCTCTTGGACGCAGGAGCTCTTGGGCGTGCTTCGCCAGCAGACCCAGGAGCGTCGCCAGAAACGTGCCAAGGCCGCGAGGTGCGACCTTCGTCCGACCTGCGCGTTGCTTGAGATGCGTGCATAAAGTCCGTTCCAATAGCTAGATGACTCTTGGTCTGACCGGCAGATACTACTTGAACGCGTGCTTGTCGATTGTAAATGGACGTCCTGAGCTGCTGTTACTGCGAAGCACAGCAAAGAGGCACACACACACAGTCACGTGCAGACGAACACATCATCACGGACGCATAGACAGTTAGACACATTGAGGAAAACCAGGGGTTTTATTAGAAGTGCAGAATCTCTCCACAATCGCACACACACACACACACATGCGCGCAACATCAAACTCATAGAGCAGACTGATATCAAAGGGACACCTCCGATGTCCAACCGTGGCACGAGGTTTGAACCGCAGCTGCCGTGACTAATTGACCCTGCAATGCGCCTGCATTCTCAAAGAGGGGGTCAGGGAAGCGTAATTTGGCATAGTAGCCTTGAAGTCAAACTTTCGAAGATAGGATTGACAAACAATCCGACAAAGATCCGGTGAGCCAACTCTTGCTTAGGTCCTAGCCAAATGAGTTTCAACATTGGCAGTTTGTTGACTGTAGGCCCACTGTGGTGAGGCGTGCCAGCGAGCAACGCCAGGCTTGACAAGGACGGGGTGACCCTGCAGGACAGCATCCTGCAGGTGCGGCTCGTGACTCAATTTCTTCTCGGATCTCTGGATCATAGCCACCGAACCCAGGTCACTTTCTGACCGCACCGAAGTAGTAGCTCAACGGCGAGCAAAGCCGTGAACAGGCAAAGCAAAATACAGCACAGGAGCAAGCAGAGCGAACCACTACCAAGCCTGCCAAAAGCAAAGTACCAAGCAAAGCCAAGCACTGCCAATCAAAGCAAAGCAAGGAAGGGATGAGGCAAGTAGCAAGCACGCATGCAAGCGGGAGGGAGCGAGCGAAGGGAAACTGGATCCGTGCCAGGCCGAAGCTGGTCAGGATGCCAGCCATTTTCTGACTGAGGAGCCAGAAGCGGCCCAAGCTGTTGCCTTTGATCTGCGCTCATCATAGCTTTGTTTGGCATAGGCCCTCGGACGTTTCGATTGGCGAGCGCCAATCGTGTGACCCTGTGATCACAAAATAAATGGACCCTTTTCTTCACATTCCTCCAAGCGATTACCTGCTGGATTCTGGTCGTGCCAGAGGCCAAATGAGTCTTTCACAGGAGCTCTTTGGCCGAAGGAAGCGTCCTACTGGCAGAGGTTTGCATCATCTCTCCTTGGATGAATATGCGTGCACAGAAAGCTTTGTGACGCAATGCGCATTAGTGGCTCAAACAAGTGGAGCGCAACACTTGATAGATCTCGATTGTCTTATGTTTCTTTCCAGTGCCAGGCAAACGCAGCCTTCGTGACCGGTTTGACCGCAATGTTCTTCGAGGGAGCTCTTCCCCCAGACTTTCGGATGGCTTCCAGGAGCACTGGTTTATGTGTATCACAATATATATGTATATACATATGTATGTAGCATAGAACAAACACAGGCTTTCCAGACTCCGAGCGTTTGCAAGGACATCTAGACGTTTGGATGCTTTGAGACTCTCAGGTGCTCATCCACTACATCTGGATTTGAAGGGACAGAAGCAGACAGCTGGATGAGGCTGATGGGAAGGAGCTCGGATCCAATGGCAGTGCACACAGGATCTGAGGGGTCAAGCCTGGGCAAGTCAGTGCCACAAACAATGTCCGGCTTGCCCGAAACCGAGCTGCGCAAGTCGATCCGCTGCAGGGAACCAACCACACCGGCATGGCTGAGCTGCAACCTGTGAGCGTTGGCTGGCGCAGGAAGGTCGCAACATGTTGTGGATGTTGAACCGCGAAAGTGCGTTCCCGGCAAGGCTTGGTCACCGTCTATCGTCACTGGACTTGCAGATCGGTGTGTTCTTCCTTATGTGGGCAAGCCTGACAAAGTGCTGCTCCGGGGTATCGGCCAAACGAAAAGTGAACCGACGTGCCGACCTTGCTGCGCCACCTTGAGGATGTTTCACCAACGCAAAGAGATTATGCAATGAGAAATCAAAGCTCCACAGACTGGTGACTACTCCGTGGATATTGCTTCTCAGTCGGGTCCACAAGTGTGTTGCAGCTCGACAACTCTCTATGGAGGGGGGATGATCAAGGCCAATTTTGGTGGAATGATCAGACTCTCTATGGAGGGGGGATGATCAAGGCCAATTTTGGTGGAATGATCAGATACCTACTGAAGATATGGAAATCGGAGCTTCTCAAGGAATTTTTGTTGAAGCACGTGTTCGGCTTTTATTCGCACAAATTTTGCACGGAAAGGGCCTTTTAAGCTACGATTCGCATGAAACTCCGCATGCGAAGTGATTTAGCGATTTGGCTATTGCTGCTTTCAGACACCCGTGTGGGGGGCGGGGGGGTTCCCGCTTGGCAGCTCTTGAGCGCCATGACCTTAGTGTTGCCTTTGGCCTCATTGGCAGCTAGTCCTTTCACTGCAAGATCTGACGGAATGTCTCGCTTGAGCCGGCATGCCAGTTCCATTACCATTTGGGATGTCAGTGTGTTTTCCCACGTCTTTCGTTGTTTCTTTTTTAGCACGCCCTGAGGCCCGTTCCCCTCATCGTTTCCAGGGCTCGCAAGGTTACAAGGCCGGAGCTGATCTGCGGTTAGGTTACTTGCAAGGACAATGCAATCCTGGAGGTGTTTTTCTTGGGTATGAAATTCGAATACTCAATGTACAATTTCTTGTGTTGGCGACACGAGCGCGAGACTCATACACTCATTCAGCACTTGGGTCGCTATGAATTCGTCTCCCTCACGTGCATTCCGCGAATCTTGCCTGGATGAAGAGCCACATGCAGGTAGTCCCAGAGTTTTTGTCGGGTGTTTTCTGTCTCCCGCAGATGGCTTGGCGCTTGGGGCGCTCCCTGCAGCTGCGCCTGAAGGCGCGTGAGCCAACGTCTTGTGGCATGTTGTCTCCGGGCTTCCGATCAGTTTGGCATCGCCTTGGTCTCCCTGAGCGCGAAGACTCGAGCATACAGGAGAAGATGGGAAGCACTGGCTCACAAGCAAACGACGGGCGTTGAGGGGTGGCTCCAGAAGCGCTGTATGGGGTTTTCCACATCTGAGCGCATTGAGGTTTTGTTGCTGTGAGATACCGCTGGTGAAGCGTCCGTTCTGCCTGTCAGGCACGCGGCTACACTCCTGCCATCCGCTTCCGAGCCTGGAGCCCAGATGCCACGCATGCTGTGGTGGTCAAACCGTTTTGGGATCCCATTTTGGGGTTTTCGTTGAGTGCACCCATTTTAGGCTTCCTTTTTTCGTGGTTGGATTGAATCGGATCTTGGGGCACGATTTGGATTTTGACAAGCCCATGGCCATGTGGAAGCTCGGGGCTTACAGCATGCGGAGCGGTGCTTGCGGCTTGGATCAGCTTGCGTCAGGCCACCAGTAGCCGGAGCCCGGATGAGCTGATGACCGAGCTGCGACAGCTGCTCACCAAGGCAGAACTTGGAACTGACTGGAGAGTGCACAACTTTTTGTTTTGTTTTTAAATATATATATATATATATTTATTTATTCATTTATTATGTTTCTTTTCTTGTGTTTGTGCATATTTGCAACATGACACTTCGGTTGCCCTGCCTTGCCAGGTGTTTCTTGTTTGTTTTGGTTTGTCCGAGGTTGTAGGTCTTAGTTTGGTGCGCTTTCTGAAATGCATGTACAGGCACCTTCAGTCGCATTGCAGATTGCAATTGACTATGGACTTGATCGTGGTCTGTGTTTGGAAAGCGTGTTCTTGGTTTACCGCCCTTTGGGAATTTGTTTAGAGCTGCCACAAAGACACATATGACATGTCATATCAGAAACATTGTTCCAGCTGAGGGGTATGGTATATACACATATCATTTTTTTAGGCCACATGGTGCAAACCAACGGCTTACAGAATACTTGCCTTCAGAGTATTTGGGATGAGATTCATAACCACTGTGAAAATTGTGTTGGCTATGTATGGCATGTCTCCTCATCCTGGCAACATTGATACAAGAATACTGCAATGGACAGGAAAAGGCAAATATGCGCAAGCAGCGCTAGAACAAGCGAGTGTTTGTACTTTCTATCTTTTGCTGCTTTGCAGCCAATACGCTCAAGCTGCAAGATCGCGGCCGTGACAGTATGCCGCAATGGCCGGGCTGATGCAAGGCAGCGTGGCCTGGTGCCGGCGCAAGGGCACCGCGACTAAGACTGCTACGCTTCGCCAGTTCCGAGACCTCGGCGAGCTGCAAGACTGGAGCGCTGCAAGAGAAGCAGACAGACCGAGCCCGCGCAGCCCGCGCTCACGCAGCTCCTCCTGCAGTTCCCAATCCAGAGCCTCGGAATCGCATGAGTGAAAGCTGAATAGAGACGTCACACATCCACTTTGCTAAACCGACCCTTCGCCCAGCGAACGCTTAACCCCTCCTAGATTCACCCATCAACCCACTCCAAGCTACCCCTAAGCCCATCCCAAACTAAACGCACCCTAAACACCCTAACCCAAATCAACCCCCAATCTAAACCAAACTCGCTCAAGCCAACCCTACATTTTTGCTAAACATACCCCAAACCAATCCTAAAGCAACCACACACCCACACCCTACAGCCTACAACCAGCCTCAGCAGCCTCCCCTAACCCTGTCCAAACGCCGTCCTAAACATCCAAATCTGAATCAACCCCAACCAATTCCCAACGCAGTGACCCACAACATCTAAATCCAACACGCCCTTGACTCAAGACCAAGCCTAAACCCACCAAGTCTGTCCGTAAGCAACCCTAAACCTATTTCCTAAACCCACCTTAAACTAACTCCAAGTCTATCCAACCTACCATTCAAGGTGCCAAGTGGTCAGGCAGGGAACCTGCTGATGTGGCGAAGAAGGAAGACTGATTCTCCACTCCACCACAGCTGTGCCATTTTCAGTCGGAGTTTTTTTTTTTTTTTTTTTATTAAAGGATTATTTTTTCCGCTTTTGGCTTCTTGGCTTTTTGGCTTCTTGGCTTCTTGGTTTTTGGTTGTTGGCTTTTCGGCTTCTTGGCTTCTCGGCTTCTGGGCTTCTGGGCTTTTCGGCTTTTTGCTGGTTTATGCGGCTTTTGGCGGCTTTGGCTTTTCGCATCCTTCGAGCTTTTTGGCTTTTGCGCCCTTTCATTGGTTGGCTTCCCGCATCATCATCACCACCACTCTGTTCCCCCCCAACCCACTCGCTACTGTCTAGATTGTTTGCAGAGTAATTGCACCCCTATTTGAATCAACTCTTCAAACATCATGGCGGAGGAGGTTGCCGCCTCCGCCCCGTTTCTTTTTAGATTTCTTGCACAGATTGAATTGCGCCCCTGTTTGAATCATCACTTTTTTGCGCGTCCAATTTCGCGAGAAAATGCTGCACAATATGACATTTTAGGTACTCTGTGTAATCCATGTATGTCTGTATGTATGCTTTTCTTCGAACATCATAGGGGAAGCCACCCCCGCTAACCCTCCCGCTGCCTTTTAAATTCTATCGCACCCTTTCTTGCATCATTGCACCCCTACTTGAATCATCACTTCTTCCGACATCATGGGGGGGGCTGCCGCTCCCCCAACCCCCCCGCTACGTTTTAGATTTTCTACAGAGATTTAATTGCACCCCTAGTTGAATCATCAATTCTTCGAACATCATGGAGGGCTGCCGCCCCGCCCAACCCCCCCGCTAGTTTTTAGACTTTTTGCAGAGATTTAATTGCACCCCTATTCGAATCATCACTTCTTCCGACATCATGGGGGGGCTGCCGCCCCCCAACCCCCCCGCTATCATTTTTTTTGACCCCGTCAATCCGCCAGCTACTTTTTGGAATTTTGTTACCCACGATTTGTTGGTGATGCTAGGGATGTTGGTCGGACATGCGGGGGATGTTGAAAGCGATGCTGGGGATGTTGACGGGCTAGTGTAAAAGGCGTCAATTTCGCGAGAAAATGCTGTAAAATACGACATTTTACTGGCCCGGACGAAAAACTAAAAAAAAACACAAACAAACCGAAAAACATTCCCAAATTACATCCGCACCCTTTTCAGTCTTCCATCTACTTCATCTACACCGCCCTTGTTTGCCTTTGTGCAGCATGTCAAAAGCCTCCTTGTCCTTGTCGCAAAAGAGTCTACTACTGTGCATGTTCCGCCCGAAGAATTGTCGGCGTTTGCCTCTTGAGTAGGAGACTAACTCACCAGAGGTTTCCACCAATCCATCGACTGTGGAGTTTCAGAGGATCACAGAGAAGGGTGGAAGACACTATCGATCGGCTATGTTTCTTTCATGCTCACATGAAGCATCAAATACAAAAGATACAATTGCGAACGTACAGGTTTGCTGGGCGAGTGGAATTTCGCTGCAATATACGTCTACTGACTGAGAGTCAAGCAGTCAAAGAAAGCTATTTTGTGGAAACATGTGATTCCAGCCGTGAAACACGGACCACTGCTTTTTGATATATTTGGAAGTGCTCATCAATCAAGGTCCTTCTTGTCATCAGTCGCTGAGTCATCCCACCATTTGTCCAGGATGTCAACTTAGCATGATATTCGCAGTGTACAAAGCATAGTGTTGTAATTCTTGAAGACGGGCCTTTGCAACATAAGAACCCGTGTTGCCTTAGTGACAGCTAGTTCTTTTTTTCACACTGTCGATTCCGCACTGAGGTGATGCTGATGCCAACCTGGCCGCGCACTTCTTGAACGGCAGCGATGCTCTGTGAAGCTGTGAGGAGGGCATGCTGCGCTTGCAGCATTTCGTGCCAATGGCACGAAGCGGCTGATCGGCTTCCAAGCCAAG